AGGAGTCCGGAAACTGCGTCTGTTAATACTTTGTGAACTTCAGCCTCGACTTCTATGGCAGCTACAAGCACGTCCTCTTCTTGTTTTGCATGCGAATCAATCAACCTTGAGAGGGCATCTGCCTGTCCGAAGTCGGTTGTTGGTTGGTACTTTATCTTGAAATCATAACCCAGTAGTGTAGTTGCCCATCTCTGTAAACGGTTTGCTGTATATACCGGGATACCTTTTTTAGATCCGAATACTGTCAGTAGCGGTTTATGGTCTGTTAGTAAGGTGAACTGTCTGCCAAACAGCATCTTGTGAAACTTTTTTACAGCAAATATGATGGAGAGAGCTTCTTTCTCAATCTGACTGTAGTTTCTTTCAGTCATAGTCGGCGATCTTGCTGCGTGGGCGATTGCTTTCTCAGACCCGTCAGGATAGGTATGTGAAATTACAGCTCCGATTCCATAATTTGACGCATCTGCCGCGACTATAATTGGAAGATCCGGGTCATAATGTGTAAGTAGAAGGTCTGATGATAGGAGCTGCTTTAGTTTTAGGAATGCTTCTTGACATTCGGTTGACGAAAACCATTTGGTATCCTTTTTCAGTAAGCAATTAAGTGGAGCACGAAGGCGATGCAGATCTGGAAGAAAGACGCCATAATGACTAACCATTCCCAAGAAAGAACGTAAAGTTGATACATCCGTCGGTGGGGGCATGGACTTGATGGCTTTAACGTTTTCAGGATCAGGTTTTCTCCCGTTTTTATTGATTATGAATCCCAAATAACGGACCGCGGGTAAACTCGAGGAAGCTATAAGAGGCTCAGAAGGAGCCGAAGATATTCCAGCCAATCACCGTTAGCAAGAATATTCTAGAATCCCTACGTGTAGCTTCCCGATTGGACAAGGCTAATAACCCCCTGTATGCGGATTGGAGGACTATAATGATGATTTTTGTTCTTACTAAAACTATAAATACCTGACAATTTGTACCCATAATTGACACTGTTTGGAATAACATTCCTTTCACTAGTCTTCTGTCTTCTCTTTGCGACTTGGAGAGGTTTGAGCGTTCGTGTGTTCAGTTGTACGTGTTATATCAAGTAAATCAACCATTTCTAGATATAACAACTGGCGACGGGGATGGGATTCGAACCCACGCGGAGAAACCCCAATGGATTAGCATTAGATAATTTCTGGGGTATTTTCTGAATACCCCAACACTATTGTTATGAATTCGCGGTTATTCTTACTTAACCTTACTCGCCCAGAAACCGTTCGGTGTGAAAACCATTCGTCTTGCTTTCCGTGGTCCACAGAAGGTTTAGTAAAATTTTCTATACTCAAATACTGTCCGTAAAAACACCAATCTAACAAGACGCACTAGCTTATTCTGTCTACTGGGATACCACTCTTTGTGAACTACAAGCCAAACTTTTGACTGTCATTCAGTGGCCAAAAGCGAGCAATCAGACCATTGATAGTGAGTACACAGTTTGAGACGGGTGATGTCTTTTTGATCAAACAATGAACTGCTTATCTCAGAGCGAACGTATCAGATTTTTTGCCATAAAATCAGATTCGTTATGATGAATAATATGCTTTTCGATAGCTGTGGAAGAAAAACGGACGAATCCTATTATAATCGTAGATCTACATCTTTTAAATTTACAGAACTCATTTAGCGATGCCATGAAGCTTCACCAGACTATCCTTAGCAAAATGTTTTCCCGGTCGTATTTTCTACCTTTTTACGGTAACGTAGATATTGTAGAATTCGAGGCCTAATATATTACTTAAAGGTCTGGTCGCTTCTGCGCACAAAAAGAGTTCTGATGTAGAAGCCTGCAGATTAAGACCTATAGCTTCACCTTGCAGTTAAGAAAGGTATGGAGAGAGGTAATACTGAAATGCCCGTAGATTATCTATATAAAACTCTCAATCACAGCACGGACATCTACAAGGTAAATTGTGTAATATCGACCTAGTTACCACCAAGATGAGCTGTGCACCACCAACTACTCGGTGTTTAGATGTCTCATAGATTCCTCCACGGCTGACGACGGACTTTACCATCAGATTAATTGTTCGAGACAAAAGCTAGTCAGTATAAGTATTTTACTAGGCTACTAGAGGATGGTTGAGTGGGAGAGGATATGAACTATCAGAGCTCACTCTTAGTTGCAAAGTGGTTTATAGACCAAGGCTGGGTACCAAAACCTTATATCATCATGGTATACGTAGATCATAAACTTATAACAGAACTATTTAGCCAACACTTTCGTTTATCGCTAACTAACGAAAAACCACAAAATAATTCAGAACTAGTCCCTATACCTCCCTGTAAAATTATTAATATAAACTTCAATGTACAGAATATTTCTAGGGTGATTAGTACATTGAAGCACTCAGACACTGATGGACCAGATGGCATTCCAGCTAGCATGCCAAAACATGGAGGTGATGATATGTGTGTATTGCTTCTCAAACTATTTGTGATATCACTTTCTACAGCGTGTTACCCTACTGACTGGAAAGCTACACATATCATTCCCAAAATTAAAACAGGAACTGAAGAAATTGTTGACATTTTTCGGCCCATAAACATAACTTCAGTGGTATCTAGAGCAATGGAAAAAGTAGTTAAGACGACTTTAATCCAACATCTACTTACTGATAATCTCATCCCGACCTCCCAACATGGATTTCTTAGGTCCAGATCATGCAATACATGCCTAGTAGACTACCTGAATGATATAACTCTGAAACGAGACAACGAACTTATTGTATCAGTCCTATTCTTAGATTTTAAGAAAGCCTTTGATAAGGTCCCACATAAAAGGCGTCAGGTCAACCTAAACAACCCACTATACTCATGTTTTGCTTCGTTTTTAACAGAACGTAAACAGACGGTAAAGTACAATGACTGTTTCACATCACCTAGTCCAATAACGATATATGTAACATCATAAAATTTGGGAAACCATACTTCTGTGCTGATGATCTCAAAATAGTATACAGCTATAAGCCTGAGACTCTAAGCGAAAGTATACCCCTGATCCAAAATGATCTCAATAACTTAACTATCTGGAGTGAAAAATGACGATTACCAATTAACCTCAACAAGTGCGGGATCATGAACTTTGGAAAGCATCCCTATAAACTGCAACTTAAATAAAAGCAAAGTCCAAACACTTAAATCAGTACACGATCTAGGAATTAATTAAACAACATGCCTCATCTATTATTTCTAAATGTAGACAGCAAACTTGTTTCATACTGAGAAATTTCTTCACAACAGAGGCCAAGGTTACTCTCTAGAAAATATGCATAAGACCTTCCCTTATATACCGCTCTTTTATCTTCTCTAATATGAATATCACAGACAAGATAAAAGTAGAAGACGTTCAAAGACGCTTCACAAGCCAACTGATTGAAAGTGACTCCACTCTCGTTTACAGAGATAGATGTAAGCACCTCTCTTTAGAACCTTTATGGCACCGTAGGCTAAAGAATAATTTAATATTTCTCTACTAAGAGATATATAGACTCTCATTTCTAACCCCGTGCCCGCCTATGATTCACGACCCAGCCTATAGACTAAGAAACAACACATGTACACTACTTACCTTAAAACACAAAAAAACAAATGCGTTGTAAGTTTTTTACAGTACGGTTTAGTTTATTGTGGAACAGGTTGCCAATGAATATCCGTAACTGTGACACATTTACCAGATTCAAAAGGCTAATAACTCTGTTTCTAGACTCTAAAGAGCTTCAATCTTTCCTTGAAATCCCGCCCACCAATGAAGCACTCTATTACGGACCGCCCAATGTCTAGATGGAACAAGAATATAGCGAGCCTTATTGTTATTAATATGAATATAACTAAATCATAGAACATATGGTTTACCCTTTCCTATTATTCATTGTTTATTAATCATGGCCTTATAGCGTGGTGTCAAGTTGAGCTTGACTATGAACACCGCTACAAGACTACGTGCCAATAGACCAATAAGATTCCGGTAGGCCAAAAATCAGAAGGCAGATGATGGCTGTAGTCGAGATGTATTTGTTGGCGATCTCGTGGTATCGAAAGAATACCGAGATCGTGCCAAAGGAGTACAAGCGTGGTTACTGAGCGTAACCGAATTCGTACAAGTTCAAAGTCAACGGGAGAGTAAGTAAGTGTAATGGCTGTCATTAGCACAGTTAAACAAACGAGCACAGTAAAACAGTCACTGGTACAATTGGTTATAATAATAATTGTTTTCATTGAACCAATCGCGTTCTGTAGACAAAAGTAGGTCACTACAGCCTTATGCTCATAACACTGACTTTCAGTTTCCAAATCTCACAAATGGTTAAATATACATCATTGTTCCTAAGTTTCATGTCCTTTTATTCTATTGCAAGTAGGCAGATAACTAACTAATCTTATGTATGCTGATCTACTAAGGCCGATCATACAAAGCTCAAAATGTCCTATTATTTGTTAGCGCGAACAGTGATTTCACCCTCTTTCTATACCTTATGGGAAGGCCTTGAAGTTCACTTTGGTATCAACAGGGCCAAGGAACACCACTCTAGGAGTTATCTCGTGACCGCTCTGTAGTGGACATCAGTAAAAACCATTAATTAGTAGTTTACACTTTGATGTTCCTAAGGAACAGAAACGGTGAGAACAACACCTTTTATTCAGAAAAATTCCCTCACAATTCATTCGGAAATCACAATAAGTCAGCAGTTTATTATTTCTAATCAACAGATTTTAGAATTTATATATGATAAGATAGTGTAAAACTATGACTTCAGAAGCAGTTTATTGCAATAAAAGCTTATTATCATTAGAATCGCAGTTCTGGCGTGAGTTAAAATGAAAGAATGTAGGTAAAAGTATAAACTTTGTCAGTTCACATCACTTTTTATATTTGCCTCAATACTTAGTTCAGTGACCTCAAGTAAAAGCTCACCCGCAATAGTTGAATTCCACCTTTGTCACCTCCGCGTGCTATGTTTCTAACTAGGACGGAGTATGATCGTGGAGTTAATACGTTTTCCCCTGAGGGACGACTCTTTCAAGTAGAATACGCGATAGAAGCTACAAAGGTTGTATTTTGTGTTATTATTAACGTTCCAAACAGCTGGGTTCAACGGGAATCGGAATCAAGACAAGTGAGGGTGTTGTTATGGCTGTAGAAAAACGGGTGAACTCAACTTTAATTATACCGTCCAGTATTGAGAAGATTTTTGAGGTGGATAAACACATAGGTAAGCCATTTTAGACGTCCATGATTTCACCTAATTAATAAAAGTGACGCATTTGACAGCAACACACCATATTGAAGCTTTATTTATAGCAAACATAGTCGTTAAAACGAAAACTTTGGGGTTAAAACAGGAATTGACTGTAGTTTGCCTCTTTTTAAAACGACATGTTGAATAGTGATAAGTGACAGGTCTGTATTTAGATGGCCAAGTTTTTCTGTACTACAACATGTAAGTAGTACATACAAAATATGTCCGAATAAGCTTATACCTTGCCTTTTATCTTCGTAACTAAAGCAAAGTTCACGTTCAACAAGCGAACCGTCTGGAAAACACGTGTGTATGCTTTTGTGGGGATGTCTTTAATCACATGAAATTTACAACGCAAAGTGAGGGCTTTACGTTGGTTCCAAGGCCTCTCTTTACACAAATGGGATGTTTATAGCAAAGAATGAAAGGCTTATAGCCTTTGAATAAAAGTCAAGAGTTCTATTTGACATTCTCTGTTCAAGTAGTTTCACCACATCATTGATCTATGATGAGCATAGTTTCTGTGTTACTTCTGAGGTTTTACGAAATGCATTAGCTACTAGTTGTTGAGGAATGCCTCATGTCTAGTCCAGTTAGTGATTGTACTTAACATATTTCCGTTCTCATCAAACCATTTAACACACGTAGTACAGATTACAAATCGTCGCATTTCCTTGCACCAAAACAGCCTTCGATTTTTTGAAGGATTCTGCTGTGGAATCATCCGTTAGAGTAGAATGTGTCTAAAATTCAAGATTACCTTAAACGTTTTGTACAAACTCACAAGGTATAATATACAACTTCCTTTTTTTTTCTTTTCAGGGAAAGCAGAAATTTTATACAATTACTAATTGTAATGTTTCCTAGATCTTGTCTTGATATTCTAGTTTTATTTATTTATTTATTTTAACACATAGATATTGGTACAAGGAGGCAGAAAATACATATGCGCCACACAAACCTCATTTGATATGTGTGAGGGCTGTAATACTGCCCGGGTGCCCAAACCGAAGCAGGTGATTTCTTTGGAGGGCCACACCCGGAGCCTTCGACCTGAACGTCTGATCCACAAGGCAGTGGAGCACCGTAAGGAGATGCAGTCCCATGGTAGCTGGTGACCAACGATTCGTTCATACGTCATTTGTTCCTTCAGGATACTGGAGCCAGCCCATGTGCACCATTGATTTGGGATCCGGTTAAAGCGCCGGACATTCGCTTTTCATCTTCTCATTTTCGTAAACAACAGTCATGCCACGAAAATATAGTGAGTAGAACTTCCCTGTCAGAGGCTATATACGCGTGGCCATGTGAGAGCATTTGGATAGGGAGAGCGGACTCTCTCCACTCTCGGCTGTACCAGGGCATTTGGAGGCTGATATTCTAGTAATAGTTGTAATTTATCATCTAGAATAGGGTTTTTTTTATGCCGAAAGTGTAATCAACTGTGAAGTACCTATGTGCTCAAGCTGAATCTGATACATATTCATATATGACGAGCTGTCGACTCTCATGTTATAGCCTGGAATACTGTATTTTCAAAGGCACTTTTCTATGTAAAGACATTTCAGTGGTGACGTAGGAAGAATAAAGGTGAAATATCACAGAATGAACTGCGTTTTTGTGGATGCTTATGCTCATCGTCCTAACAGATAGTTTTTCTTTTAAGATGTTGAGCCACTTCAACCCGCTGTCACATTGTAACGTGATCAATAGGACTAGACAAACATAGCATTGGTTACCACTCAGTGATCAATCAATTGTAGGCGATTTTATCACTTGTTTCATTCGTTGGCTAGATTAGGTTTAGTAGTCTTCGCATGAGATCCTTTATCTAAAGGTTCATTAATTTACTCATCCTGTTTAGTCGAAGTCAGCAAAATATGCTTCCATCATAAATTATTCGGTTTTCAGGATAATTTAGGGTCAAAGGCCTTGGGAGTGACCTCTTAAGAAAACAATCTGTTTCAGTTTTGGCAACTGGGCAGTATCCCGACCCAACACGAATTCAATGGTTTGTGCGGCGCGTATATATTCTGGTTCTCCTTTGTACCAATGTATGTGTTTAGATTAATAGATTAGTGTAAGCGATCGAACCAATAAGTTCAGGGTAAATTTAGTTAAGCTTGTGTGACATAACATACTTCTGTGAATGTGATATCTCGAAACGATGTGGTACGTTGCCGTTCCTACAGAAGTTGGAGATATCCTCCGCACACAAATGGAGGTTTTCAAATGGTTTTTGGATCTTGGGTTTTCCCATTATTCTCCAAAGCTTCTGTGATATAGTGGCTATACCTAAAGCTATCTTGCTGTAACCGAGTTGGGTATTTTTCATTAGTCACTTTGAGGAAATTCCTCCTGCTATTCGATCCTTATTAGTAAACAATCTGCATCAAAAGTTGATCATGTACTTCAGAAAGTATTGAGATTCGTCGTGAATGGATGAACGAAGACTCATTCTGGCGAGGAGATAAACTGACTTATTTTCTGTCGTAAATTATTACGCATCGTAGATGACCGCTTAATGTTCAAAGAATGAGTGATGGTGGTGCACAAATCGTTCCGTTCTCGAGTTCAACGATAATTTCAGCTGCGATCCAGGTATAATTCGTATAAAGCTCATTTCCAGTTTTCCCCATTGGCCATTTACGAACCTGAAAACTGCGTATTTTGTGAATGGCTGCGCCAAATATCAACAAGTAGCAAAACTCGAGTCAAGTGCTTTCAGTTTCATGGCCATCACCTGAAGATCCATGGTCCAGAGTTTACATTGGTTTTGCAGGATCAGTCAATAACACCACATTTAGTTCTCGTTGACTCATTCTCAAAATTGCCAGAGATTCTTCCACTGGTCCCGCCAACAATATCCAAAACCCTCTGGTTACCGACGAATATCTTTGCTAATAATGGTGTATCAGGTACTATGTTTCCAGGTAGTGAATTGGGATTTACTTCCTCTCGTTTCAAGAGTTCTTCCGCCAACACATATTTGCTCTCCACCATATCATCTTCAATCAAATGGTCAAGTAAAGCAGTTTGTGGACACTTTTAAAAGAGCATTACTAAAGCCAAGGGGGATGAGACATCCATCGATATATTGCACAGTTTTTGTTGGTGTACAGAACTGCACCAAATGATACACTATCAAATCGGAAATCGCCAGCAAAATTATTCATGGGTTTCAGATTAAGAATAACCCATCACCTGAGGTGACCAAGAAGGATTACTTGCAAAAAGATGATACCAGTGAATACAGCATTTAAAATTAGAGCTCCTGTGTTCGTCCGGGATTACAGATCGATGAACAACACATGGATAGAGAGATGTAACAAGACTTAGTCAGGCAATGTATTAGGTACCAGTTGGAAAAGACAGTTGAACACAACATCTGTATTAATTATGAAGACGTGTATTGCCAAAGTGGACAGTAACAACAAAAAGCAATTTACCTCTGGAAATACTAGTAGACACTTTTAGTCTTCTGGAGCCCTAGAATGACACTAAAAGAAAAAAACAGACGGAACTTCCAGAACAAGTAAACCTACATTCTAGAAAACAGTTTGCCAGACAACGGTGACAGACGACTCCGTTTCAAGTGGACTCAGGGAAATCAATTAAAGGGCAAGTGATGGGGATGTACGATCTCAAATTACAACTTTTGAGAAGTGAATCAATATTGATTGGATTACGGTACTTGTCCAACTCAACTGAACCCAATTTTCCACTGATCGTCTTGCTTAGCAAAATCGAATTTAAAGAGACTCATTCCGTCTGAGTCATGTGACTAATGTAACATTCGAATCTGATTCAATTGAATTCGGCGACGCTATTTGCAATACCATCGATAGATGCAACATTGAGTGTAGGTGTACTTAATAATCTCGCTGCTCTGTATTTTGAGTTTTTCATCAACTAGATCAATTTAAGCTTCTGCTCCAGTAGTCATTTTAATTTGATAGGATCGATTTTTCATCAACGTTGTCTCTAGCTGATGTGAATTCGAAGTAACTTAGTTTTCCTTTTTCTTTGCCCCAAATCTCCATCGCTAATTGATTCGTTCTTGCACTGTGCTAATAATCTCACTACTGTGAATGAAATTACTTCTACCCTCTTTTTTCCGTATCTCATCAGCTAGAGTAAAAACACCAGTTTTGCAGATAAAGCTTTTTGATGTTGATCCAGAGTAATTGATCCAAAAAATACTAAGTTTGTCGATTATATATAAAAAATAACGATTGAAACATTTAAACTGAGTAGTTGTTATGGAAACAAAATATTGTAAAAATGTATCGGAATTCCATGTAAAGTGCTTGCACTGTATAATTTACTGTAAAAGAAGCTCAACCTAAATGATATTAGCCCCCGAATGCCCTGGTACGACCGAGAGTGGGGAGTCAGCCATCTTGAAATACTCTCACATAGTCACGTATATAGCCTCTGTCAGCTAAGTCCTACTCACTGCCTTCTCGTGGTGGGGGTGTCGTTTGCGGAATTGAGGGGACGAAAAGCGAATGTCCGGCGCTCTAACCGGGTCGGTGGGCACGGACAGCCCACCTAGAGGAGTTGAAAAATCTTCGTTTCAAACCAGTGGTACACATGGGCTCCAGTATCCTGAGGGAACAAATGACGTAGGAACGAATTGTTGGTCATCAACTACCATGAGACTGTATCTCCTTACTATGCTCCACTGCCTTGTGGATCAGACCTTTAAGGCGAAGGCTCCGAGTCCGGCACCCTAAGAAAACCACCTGCTTCGGTTTGGGCACCGGGCAGTATCACAGCCCTCACACATATCAAATGAGATATATGTGGCGCATATGTGTCTGGTGCCCCCTTGTACCAGTATTTTTGTTCATATATTAATACTAAATGATATTGATATACTTCTCATACAGTATAGTTTGAGATTGCATAGATCCCCAGCACCGATAACTACAGTTTTAACAATTTTTTAAAATTTATTTTCGTCTTTCCTAATGCTAGCATGCGCAGTTAGTGGCCTTGTTGCTGATGCAAGAACCCTCATAGAACGTGCACGTACAGAAGCAGCTCATCATTGGTTCGTGTACAATGAGAAAATGACTATTGAAGATGTGACTAAAGCAGTGAGTAACTTGGCTCTAGCATTTGGTGATGATGACATGGAGTCTGGTGCAATGGTAAGCAATTAGATTTGATATTATTTCCTTATTTGTTTTTCGAATCTTTCTCAAAATTCATCATACAGTTCAGTGGTCTAATTACCTAACTATAAAACAGTAGTTTTAACAGCTTTATCTCAACCTAAGCACTGAATGGTTTTGTTATTTGTCATAAATAGACATTACATACCAAGTGAATATAAAGATTAACTTTAGGGTATCACTATTTTGAAAATTTTTAATCATTCAAGTGGAAAAAGTGCTTTCATTTGACTACATTTCTTGTTAGCTGGCGACATCATCCACATACTAGCATAGTTCATTTTTAACCATATGATTTTTCTTAGATTTAAATTCAAGTCACTTTACACCTTTACTAAGGGTCTTAACCAACATTGACTCCTGAACTTTCTTAATTTAAACCAAAGATACGAATCATATTGTTGTACTACTAGTAATTTATTTGTTAAATCCTATCGAATTGTAACCTTGTTTAACGATGCTGGAAATTTTAATTTTAATTAATTTATTTATTTGAACATATAAATATTGGTACAAGGGGCACCAAATATATATGCGCCACACTATGTTTTTTTTGTGTGGGCTGTGATACTGCCCGGGTGCCCAAAACGAAGCAGGTGGTTTCTTAGGGGGCCACACCCCGAGCCTTCGACCTAAAAGTCAGACCCACAAGGCAGTGGAGCACCGTAAGGAGATGCAGTCACATGTTAGCCGGTGACCAACGATTGGTTCATACGCCATTTGTTCCTTCAGGATACTGGAGTCAGCCCATGTGCACCATTGATTTGGGGTCCGGTTAAAGCGTCGGACATTCGCTTTTCGTCTTCTCATTTTCGTAAACAACAGTCATGCCACGAGAATGCAGTGAGTAGGACTTCCCTGTCAGAGGCTGTATACGCGTGACCATGTGAGAGCATTTGGAGAGGGAGAGCGGACTCTCTCCACTCTCGGCCGTACCAGGGCATTTGGAGGCTGATATTCTAGTAATAGTTGTAATTTATCATCTAGAATAGGGTTTTTTTTATGCCGAAAGTGTAATCAACCGTGAAGCTGACTCTCCCCACTCTCGGCCATACCAGGGCATTTTGGGGTTCGTTCATAAATTATAGTCTCGCCCTGATAATTTTTTATTTAGTAATGAAACAAGGAAAGTCTCATATTTCTATACTTTACAAACTACTGTTTTAAATGGAGACGTTGATCACATTTCGGTTTTACCGTATTAGTTAAGTTTCGCACAAACTTGAATTTCACAAAATTACTTTAACTACTATTTAGTACTGTAAGTAGGCAAGTAATATTTCTTTATTTCTCGAGCAGTTTCATAAAGCCATGTATGTATTTAGCAATAATGAATAGTGTTTAAATGAGATCAACTGTCTGGTGCTCTAACCGGATCTCAAATCAATGGTGCACATGGGCTGGCTCCAGTATCCTGAAGGAACAAATTGCGTATGAACCAATCGTTGGTCACCGGCTACCATGTGACTGCATCTCCTTACGATGCTCCACTGCCTTGTGGATCAGATCTTCAGGTCGAAGGCTCGTGGTGTGGCCCTCTAAAGAAATCACCTGGTTCGTTTTGGGCAACCGAGCAGTATCACAGCCCTCACACATATCCAATGAGATATGTGTGGCGCATATGTATTTGATGCCTTCCTGTACCAATATCTATTTGTTAAAATAATAATAATAACAACCGTCGATATACTAACAGAGATATTTGCTTGTTGAGTATGATAAAAGAGATTTGAATAGGTTGTTCATTTGTAAGTTTAGGTAATATGATAAGTCATGTAGTCTAATGGGCTATTTATTCATACAGTTATAATTAACTAATACCTTTTTAATAATATATGGGGATTTTTGAATATCGTAGTATTTACACAACTGAAACTATAAATCGATCTTAGCTAAACCTTCATTGAAAACCTGGAAGCACTGGATGATTGTTTCGTTTTAGTGCTTCTAGGTTTTCAATGGTGATCTAGCTAAAATCGATTCGTGATTTCCGAGTTTTGTTATTAATCATAGTTATAGACTGTTACGAGCTCGTAAAAAGTTTATTTAAACTAAGGAATAAACCCTCAGCTCTTCTTTAGCAATAATTAATCTGTATTAACTCCTTAATCATTCACTGTACCATAGCGGTATTGTATCAGTTAATACTACATCATCATCACACAGTTGTACAATACTTGTTATGAAGTGATTGAATTAATCGGTTTATAGTCATTAAATGTCAGATTTAATCCCAATCCCATCCACCTTATTTTTGGTATCAGAGAGTATTACTGCTAACCCTCATATAAACAGTTCAACTCTAAATTCACTTGGTGTTGTTTACTCCTATCTTCCTAACTGATGAATCCCAAATAGGACGAAATGCGCGTCCTAGATTCCACTACCAGCGAGAAGCTATTATATCTAGGACCATTAGAGATTCATAGTTGTTTCAAGGCTGTTACTGCTGAATGACACGTCAATGGTTTAGCACATGTAGAAGGTCATAGGAGTCAATATTCTGATCGGCGACTTGTCGCGTGACAACGGACAGGGGCATAAATCATAACGTTACTTTCTTTACTTGGGCCTGCTACTCCTTGATGAGTAGCATCAATCGCCCACAGAACGTTGTTCTGGGCAATCCTTTCCAGTTAGCATTCATTCTTTTGGTGCCTGCCTCCGATTCCCAATGTAATGTGTTCTTTGGTCTGCCTCTTTTCTTTTGGCCTTCTGGATCTCAAGATAGGGCTTGACTCGTGATGTAGTTCATTGATGCCCGCGATGTATATCTTATCCACTTACAGTGTGTTTTCCTAATTTCCTTTACACTTGGAATCTGGTTTGTTCTCTTTCACAGTAGGTCTCTGCTGATTGTATCTAGTCAACGGACATAGGGTATCTTGTGTAGACAGTTGTTTATAAATAATTGTACTTTTTTAATTATGGTTGTAGTAGTTCTCCAGATTTCGGCTCCGTACAGCAGAACAGTATGGACTTTCGTATTGAAGATTCTGATTTTATTTATTTAAACACATAGATATTGGTACAAGGAGGCACCAAATAGATATGCGCCACATAAATCATTCGATTTGTATGAGGGCTAGGAGGTTGCCCGGGTGCCCAAACCGAAGTAGGTGATTTTCATAGGGAGTTATACCCGGAGCCTTCGACCTAAAGGTCTGATCCAAAAGGCAGTGGAAATACGTCAGGAGATGCAGTCTCATGGCAGATGGTGATCAACGACTGGTTCACACGCCATTTGTTCTTTCAGAGTTATGGAGCCCATGTGTCTCATTGGTTTAGAATCAGGGTTTTCGAACTTCTCTAGGTGGATCCTCCATCTCCATCAACCCGGTTAAGGCGCCGGACATTCGCTTTTCATCATGTCAATTTCTTAAACAACAGTAATGCCGCGAGAAGAAAGTGAACAGGTCTTACCTGACAGTGGTTATATGCACGTGGCCATGTAGAGAGGATTTGGAGAGGAAGAGTTGATTCTCCCCACTCTCGCCTGTTCCAGGGCATTTGGGGCGACAATTGTTTTAGGTTTCAACTGTAGGAATGCTGCCCTTGCTTTGCCGATCCTCACCTTCATATCTGCATCAGATCCTCTTTGTTTATCACCACGTTATTGTATTGGTTGATCACTATATAATGACCAACGTCACGTTTTTCTGGTCGTTGACACTGACTAGATTCTATTTATCAAAAGGTTTCATTACTATCAGAGGGATTTTTATGGAGATTGTAGTAAATTTAATAGTTGAAATCATGAGTCGATTGAAACTAGACCACCATGGAAAACCTGGAAGCACTGGATGGCTGTTTACGTCCTATTATGATACTCCTCAGAAATACGCATCCACAACCCCACCCCACGGGATTCGAACCTAAAACCTATCAGTCTCGCGCACGAGCGCTTAACCACTAGACAGACCATTGAGCCGGTCAGCATCCAACAATGTTAATGTTTAACTTCAACTAATCCATGAAATTGTCCAACATTCATTACTATCTACGGATGACCTCTAACCATATTATTTCAAAATATAGAACTTGAACAATTTCATATTCAATTCAATATATAATTAACAATGTTTTGTTTGAACTGATGTTAACAAAACATCAACTCTTATGTTCCATTTTATAATCATAGTAATCCTTCATATTAAACTTGTTCTATCGATTGACTTTATTCTATAGTAACAAAAAAAAAGATTATTCTCTTAAGAATAATGAATCGTTTTTAAACAAAAAAGGTTTAATTGTTAATTGCTTTGTTCAATAATCATTACTCTTATGCTTTGGATTTGACTTGATGAGTTTGTGTTTATGTATTTCAGTGTGTGTGTGTGTGTATACATGTATGTGTATCTGTATATGTGCAAATGTGCACTGTGATTTTATCATAATCTACTAGTAATGGAGTAAATAGAATGATAAATTTCATTGTTTTTTTTGTTGTTGAGGGTATCTTCGTGTATGATTGATTAGTTTCTTTTCTGTACGTTTATAAACTAAATTGTATTAGATTTTTTGGTTGAGATCATGAACTGGTTGATGTTAGATCATCATTGAAAACCTGGGAGCACTGGATGGTTGTTTCGTTCTATTATGGGACTCCTCAGTAGTGCGCATTCATGATCCCGCCCCATGAAATTCGAAACCAGGACTCATCAGTTTCGCACGCGATCGCTTAACCACTAGACCATTGATCTGGCATCCAACGGTGCTCACTAGTGACTGGCTTCAAGAGGTATATCCTGGAGTTCTAGTGAGAAACAGTTACTAGTGGAGTTCAAATGAGTCTATTGTGAGATAGTGACTCACTAATGATATTGGTGGATGTGTCGCTTGATTTCGTGCATTAGTTGAAGTTAGATATACAGTATGTGGTTAATTTACAAAATATCAATCAATTGTCTCAAACTTTGTATGCTCCTCTTGCAAATCTCAGTCCATTGGCTCAGATTTCACTGTTCGTGCATTTTCATACCAATTGCTTTCCGTCTTTAAAGGCCTGTTTAACACTGTTTATTGATTTATTTATTTGAACACATAAATATTGGCACAAAGGAGCAGCGAATACATATGCGCCACATAAATCACTTGATTTGTGTGTGAGCTGTGATACTTCCCGCGTGCCCAAACCAAAGCAGGTGGTTTTCTTATGGGACCACACGCGGATCCTTTGACCTGAGGGTCTGATCCACAAGTAAGTGGAACAATGTCAGGAAATACAGTCCCATGGTAGTTGGTGACCAACGATGGGTTCATACGCCATTTGTTCCCTCAGAATACTGGAGCCCAGGGCATTTAGACATTATTTTACAATCATGCAATTTACTACTTATATCATTGCTTATCTCCAATACAAATTATTGTAAATATATTTTTTGAATTTTTTTTTGTTATCAACTATAATCTACATAATTTTATCACTACAATAGAGTCGTCCATTTGGTGTTGCTTTATTATTTGCTGGAGTTGATGAACGTGGTCCACAATTATATCATATGGATCCAAGTGGAACTTATATTCGATATGAGGCTAAAGCAATTGGTTCCGGTTCTGAAGGTGCACAACAAGCATTACAAGAAATATATCATAAGGTTAGTTGTTTTAAAATCTGTTAACTAATTAATAATTTTGTTGTTGTTGACAAATTATTATCTATTGTGAATGTAGTTTTCTACACGTAATACAGACTCATACAGTTTACCATTATCAAGCTATATTTTATTAGGGCGCTACACTTCAAGCCTTTGATCTGAAGGTCTAATCCACAAAACATTGGAGCAACATTAGCAGATACAGTCTCATGGTAACCGATGACCAACGATTAGTTTATATACTGTTTGTTCCTTCAGTATCCTAGAGCCTACGATTGGTTTGGAATGAAGATTTTCCAACTTCTCTAGTTGGATTCTCCATATCTTCACTTAATACACTTATAATAGCAAAGACTTCTCGTTCAATTTCTAAACTGTCAACATTCTTAACTAATTGAACATGAAACAAATATGATAGCAGGATTATTGTAAATGAATTTTCATTACATGATTAGTTTATACATATAAATCATGTTGCGGCAAGACTATACCGATCAGGTATGAGATAACAGGTCTCGGATTTCGGCGCAGAATTCATACATTCATTTGGCTAAATAGCGTTTTAGCATTTTATTTATTTATTTTAACACATAGATATTAGTACAAGGAGGCACCGAATACATATGCGCCACACATATCTCAATTGATTTGTGTGAGGGTGGTTTTCTTAGGGGGCCACACCCCGAGCCTTCGACCGAAAGGTCTGACCCACAAGGCAGTGGAGCATCGTAAGGAGATGCAGTCCCATGGTAGCCGGTGACCAACGATTGGTTCATTCGTCATTTGTTCCTTCAGGATACTGGAGCCAGCCCATGTGCACCATTGATTTGGGATCCGGTTAAAGCACCGGACATTCGCTTTCGCTTTTCGTCCCCTCATTTTCGTAAACAACAGTCATGCCACGAGAAGGCAGTGAGTAGGACTTCTCTGGCAGAGGCTGTATACGCGTGGCCATGTGAGAGCATTTGGAAAGGGAGAGTGGACTCTCCTCACTTGACCGTACCAGGGCATTTGGGGATGATATCAGTTCGTAATGAAAACCCGAAATCTAATTCCTAACTCTAAGCATCAACTGTAAATCATAATTCTAATCCCTCACACTGGTTTATAACCTTCATTTGATCCTAATTAGTAGGTGAACATTCTCAAGGTAGTTTTAACTTGGCTCAAAGGTCATCCATAAATTATAGTCTTACCATAATTACAATTAACATCATTATTTCAAACATTTTAGAAATAACCAGTAATTTGTCCTTAATGTATGTTGAATTCGTTCACTATATGATATAATATATCAGTATTGTAAGTTGATATGACGGGATGAAAAGTCGAAATTTGTCGATGAGTCTAGTGCAAACATGAATTCCTTAAAAGTGAAATTGTTACTCGAGCAGGAGCTGAAACTTATCTAGATGTTAGTAGATTTAAAAATTACGCTTAATACACAACCAAGCATTTCTAATTCTGCTACTACTGCACCTTTAGTTGATGATATCACGAACAGTTTCATTACGATCCTGAATCCAAGCTCACATTTGATGTGATGACTTATTCAAACTTGATTTTAATAATCAAGATGACATTTGGAAAGTCCGATTGCTTCTTCGTAAGCTAAATCTATACTGTAACTTAATTCTCCCTCTAAACCCACATAACCACTTATTCTCGGACACCGTTCAGTCATTAAGCTAACAGTTCGGAAATTGATGTAACTTTATGTCCGGCTATATATCGCATGATTTACCCACTAATCAAAATACGACTTACACAATCTTAGTACTGTGCCAAACCAATGACTTTCGACCGGTATGAGCAGCCTAGCGTCTTTTTTGATCCTATGTTCGCCTAGCCCGTCCGCTTGAGTCCAGAACACCAATATCAGCTTCCACTAAGCGAATCGTATCGAATCATTTATTTCAGACATACTGGGTTGATATATCAAACAAACAGATCGTAACACACCATAAAATGGGATATAATATTTGTACACAATAAAGCCAAAAAGTGGCTGTGAATGTGGGAGGCAGTAGTCAATAAACTGAACTATAATTTAATTCTCACTCTAAACTCACATAACCGCTTATTCTTGAACACCATTCAGTGATTAAGCTAACAGTTCAGAAATAACTTCTCACTATTCAATATACACTATCAATATTTGAAGTTGACTATAAAAGAACACGATGATTTTTTGACACATATAGGTATCATCATCCATATATGTGAACACATCCGATTGAAATTGCTAACTGTAGATCATTTCATAACTTTCATTTACATCTACAGTCTCCAATCGTAAAAGTTCAATAACTTTTCATTCTGTCATATTATCAGTAAAAGATATTTCAATCATGTTCAAGAAGAAAACTTTTTATCATCTAATTGTAATACTCATGAATCAAGTTTTTTTTTCTTTATTTCTTTTCTTTTCTTTCATGGAAACATTCCAATATACATATAATTCTATTGTAATTATAATATACAATTATATAAACCAATTTTCAGTATTCATCTAATCCATTCCATTCGATAATAATAATAATTCCATTACTACTATTACTGCTAATAATAATAATGCCATTCCTGACCGTTGTTGCTACCTTGACGTAGTGGTCGGGCTTGCCTATCGTGTTGAAGCAACTGAGCTATACTAGCTGGAACAACCGTTCCTCAAGGTCCTACCATGCCAGACAGGTCGGTTGAAGAGCGGTAAGACTAAAAGCAACAAAACCAAGGTCCGAAGGCGAAGTCGTACTTCTGACTGTACAGAGGTGTGACAGCAGTATGGTGTTTCCTTCAGATAACCAGCATGACAGCGATGCTGCCTTCCCACAAGGAGGGATGGGGTTAGAAAAGGTCAACCCTAAAAATACACACCTCGCCTTATCCCACGGATATCCGTCTCCGGCGGTAAGGTCTCAACGAGTACGGAGCTAACACAAAAATTACTCATAAAAAGGTCGTGTGTGACCGACTTCAAGCAGCTGTCCCTTGGGCACTGCGGTCACGCTCTCAGGTCACTATGACCAACTCTAATCCAATTTCCTTTTCAGGTACCTCCTCCTCCATAATGCCATTACTACTACTACTACTACTACTAATACTAATACTAATAATAATAATAATGCCATTACTACTACTACTACTGATAATAATAATTAATAATATCTCTCGTCTATATATCATTAAATTTGTAAATAATTCAGCTGATAACTAAATTGTACTTTTTCCCTTTTTTTATTCTAATATTCAATGAATATTCAATTGTGAATGTAATAAACAGAAAACAAACATCTTAATTTCATTACTTTCTCTGGTAAACAAACAAACAAACATATAAAGCTTACAAATTATTATTATTATTATTATTATCATTCTTATTATTGGTAATAGTAGTAGTATTGGTACTATTATTACGTAATCACGTGAACAAATCGACGTATTATTATTATTATTAGTGGTAGTAGTAGTATCATTGTTATTATTATTATTATTATTATTAGTAGTAGTAGTAGTATTAGTATTGTTATTATTACTATTAATATTAATATTATTATTATTATTATTATTATTATTAGCAGTAGTAGTAGTACTAATGGCATTATTATTATTATTAGTAGTAGTAGTTGTAGTAATGGCATTATTATTATTATTATTATTATTATTATTATTATTATTAGTAGTAGTAGTAGTAGTAGTAGTAGTAGTAGTATTAGTATAATTGTTATCTTGGTACAATTCAAATGTTCTAATCTAATAGTAGTATATATCAATGTATTATTATTTTTATGATTATTTTGATCTATTTTTCTATAGAAGTTTCCTTTATATATTGATTATTGAATAATAATAATAATAATAATAATTATTATTATTATTATAATAAATATAAGTAATTATAATAACATAATTATTACAAATTAACTAACTAATTATTCCTATTCTATGTTAGAAGAATTCATGTTATAGGAATGATGCAAATCATTTCTTCAATGAATTCTTTCAGGATATAACATGTGATCTAGATTAATAATTGTTCATGTTATATTATATAATCTATATATTAATTACAAAGTTATCAAACTATAGATTATAATGATAGGGATGATAATGATAATGTAGGGATGATTGTACAAAATAGTATATTTTTTTTACTATTTGATATTAGAAAATATTTAAGCTTGCAAATACTCTGATACAATCAATCAGTCAGTCAGTAACAACGTAGAACATTGTACTTACGTACGTACATCCGTTCGAGTTGCCATACCACATTAGCACACAGATACAATTGTCGATTCAAATATCATAGTGGTAGAGGTAGTAAGAATATAAGCAGTAATCGGAAACATTAGGGTTTGAAGATGTTATTTAAGGAGTATAATCCAGTGAAATAAATTTTGAAAGAGAAAAAATGAAAGGGACATGAAGAAATCAGAAAATGAAAAATTGGGAGAACACAAAGAGTGAATGTACCTGCGCCATTATAAACAATTTTGAGCCATATCATTTAGGGTCTCTAACTGTCGGTTGCTATCGTCTCGCGGATTACAACCAGGTAGTCTATACCTACCAACATGGATTTGTGCCATGTTTTGGTCTGTCCATCACTAGCTTTCTTCCATTCTACTCCTACACTATGAAACATCGCACGTCAGAGTAGTTGGTGGTTGGATATACGTAACATGTGTTCCAGTCATCTCAACTGATGAAGTTTCACTATTTCATCAATCGATTTACCATCCTTACCTAGTACCCGTTTCCTAGCAACTGCGTTGCTTCTCCGGTGGCTCTGATGCAGTCGAGGGTGTAGAGAGTCCGTTTTCTCTCTCTTTCGAAATACTCTCATATAGGTACGCGTATACAGATACTGATAGGGATATCCTACTCACTGTCTTCTTGTGGCGGATGTGTTATTTATGGAATTGAGAGGACGAGAAGTGAATATCCGGCACTTTAACGGGGTTGGTAAACACGATGAGTCCACCTAGAGGAGTTGGAATATCCACATTCCAAACGAATGATACACATGGGCTCCGGGATCGTGAAAAAACAAATAGCGTATGAACCAATTATTGGTCATCAGCAACCATAAGACTGCATTTCCTAACGTTTCTCCACTGCCTTCTGGATCACACGTTTAGGTAAAAGGCTTTGAGTGTGGCCCCCTAAAAAAACCACTTGCTTCGGTCTAGGCACCCGAGAAGTATCACAGCCCACACACAAAATCAAATGACTTGTGTGGCATATATGCATTTAGTACCTCCTTGTATTAATATTTATGTGTTCAAATAAATAAATCATTAAGTCAAAACAGTGTTAAACAGATAATAACTGTCGGATTTCAGGTCTTTGAAGGTGTACATACTGAACATTCCATGTATTAAAATTCCCAGTACTTAAACACTTCATAATAAAAAGCTTGAAACATCTATTGTTTTGTTATTCATTCGTCAAGATTACAGTATTAACTGTTGGTTTCATTCTCATAAACTCTCTTATCTTATTGATTTGGTAATATATTTTAGAGTATATGACCCCCAAATGCCCTGGTACGGCCGAGAGTGGGGAGGGTCCGCTCTCCCTCTCCAAATGCTCTCACATGGCCACGCGTATACAGCCTCTGCCAGAGAAGTCCTACTCACTGCCTTCTCGTGACATGACTGTTGTTTACGAGAATGAGAAGACGAAAAGCGAATGTCCGGCGCTTTAACCGGGTCCCAAATCAATGGTGCACATGGGCTGGCTCCAGTATCCTGAAGGAACAAATGGCGTATGAACCAATCGTTGGTTACCGGCTACCATGGGACTGCATCTCCTTACGATGTTCCACTGCCTTGTGGGTCAGACCTTTCGGTCGAAGGCTCGGGGAGTGGCCCCCTAAGAAAACCACCTGCTTCGGTTTGGGCGCCCGGGTAGTATTACAGCCTTCACACATATCCAATGAGATATGTGTGGCGCATATGTATTCGGTGCCTCCTTGTACTAATATCTATGTGTTAAAATAAAATAAATATTTTAGAGTATTGGTGTTTACATTTAAGCATTTGACTTTGATTGCTTCATTTATTTGGGATTGAGTAATCTAGTGTTATCATTAAGTCGTTGTAAAAACAGTAATGAATGATGATGCAAAAGAAAGCATAGTGATTGGAGGATAACAACTGCTCATTAGACTTCATCTACTGTTTTATTACATTTACTGATTATTTCAAACTAGAACGATCACACTAGACCACGTAATGGTAGCTTTAATGTTCCTTTTTTTTAATCGAATGGGAGAAAAGATAAAAACAAATATAATTGGAAACTATATAATGCCTAATTTATTAGTAAGTTATAGTGTTTGCGGATATTAATTTCATTCTGTAGCGTAGTTTTCATTAGAAAATGACACCAGTTATAGGACTATTGAAAACCGAGGGATATGAGGCATTAAGACATTTATGTGGTCCTAGTTGACTTGGCTTCATCAGGGAAAATCCTAGACTTATACTGGTATCAAACCATAGAACCTTTGAGTATCCGGAAAAATATGTAATTTGTAGATCATCCTTCATCATTTTCAACTTTAGTGAATTTGTGAGAACTCAATCAATTATTTACTCTGGTTCTGTTCTAATTTACGGCTGTGAAACGTGACCATTAAGAGAAGATACTCGTAAGCTACAAGTATTTGATCACAGATGTCTGACAAATATTGCTCGCATCTGCTGGGATCATTGGGTAAGTAATAGTGAGGTTAGACGCAGAGTATTAATAAATGATGGTAAATCAGTTGATGAGGTTATGAATCTTCATCGCATGATATGGTTGGGCCACATGTTACATATATCTGAACTCCAATTACCATGAAGCGCAATACTGACTAGTGTTGGGAGATGTTTGGAAGGAAGTTAGTGGCAGACAAACCGAGACGTGGCATCAGTCGTTGAAGTCACTAACTTGTGGTGTGAGCTACGTTGATAGATTCAGACTACTTGGTTAGGGTCCGCATGACTATCATAACCAATGGTTGGAGACTGTGTTATGACATAGTTCAGAATCGGTCAGAACGGCGTAGGTGTATACACTCTATGTCTTCTCTTAAACTATGAGATTATAATTGCTTGATATCTTTCTTTCTACCAATTAATTCTTTCTTCCTGTACTATACCCTTATATGCAATCTTTCCTTTTATATATTACCACCATTGAATTCACTACTTCTATGAATTCGGTGTTCATGTTTTTATGCTAATGAGTGAGGTGTGGCAACTTGAACCGATGCATATATATACTTCGTCTTACGTTGTAGCTGACTGACTGACTGACTGATTGATTTATTTTACTGAATACATGAGATATTTAAAGAATAGTATTACAGAGACTTATACAATATAAGTATAGTACAATGTCCAATATTACCTAGCTGTACTTTGAATTTATTTCATACTTGAGATAAGTAATATCCACTTGATGTGTATCTAAGACAAATCCTATGTCTGTGTATGTGTACATTCACATTTGTTTGTTTGTTTGTTTATTTGTTTTTTTTTCTTTTTACAATTGTTTCTATAGAATATGACATTACATGAAGGATGTAAACATGCTTTATCAATTTTAAAACAAGTTATGGAAGAAAAACTTGATTCAACCAATGTAGAAGTAAGCTTATATTACTTTTGATTGTGTTTATTATTATTTTAATTATTTATTCAAAGAAATCAGTCAGTATACAACTTGGTAACTAGTTTAGACTGTTATATAATCTCACTTTGTGTCATATTTTATATTTGAACTAAAGTAGATGATTCAATGAGGTTAGAAATTGTAACCTAGAATGGTTAAATGTAAAATTCTTCCACTGTTAAATCAATAATCTAGTCTAGTTAAATCATATTAGTTTTTTATTCAATATAGTCAGTTAACGCCCTGGTACAGCCCCCAAACGCCCTGGTACGGCCGAGAGTGGGGAGAGTCCGCTCTCCCTCTCGAAATGCTCTCACATGGCCATGCGTATATAGTCTCTGACAGGGAAGTCCTACTCACTGCCTTCTCGTGGCGGGGGTGTTGTTAACAAAAATGAGAGGACGAAAAGCGAATGTCCGGCGCTCTAACCGGACCCCAAATCAAATCAATGGTGCACATGGGCTCCAGTATCCTGCGGGAACAAATGGCGTATGAACCAATCGTTGGTCACCGGCTACCATGGGACTGCATCTCCTCACGATGCTCCACTGCCTTGTGGATCAGACGTTCAGGTCAAAGGCTCGGGGTGTGGCCCCCTAAGAAAACCACCTGCTTCGGTTTGGGCACCCGGGCAGTATCACAGCCCTCACACAAATCAAATGAGATTCGTGTGGCGCATATGTATTTGGTGCCTCCCTGTACCTATACTTATGTGTTAAAATAAAAATAAAAAATAAATAAAATAAAATAATCAGTATTATAAGGAGGTCTAAGATATACTATTTCACTTTGTTCCATGTGGTTTTATACATACTTGATTGCTTTCATCTAACTCGTCAGTTCTACTCTATGCTTGTAAAATCTAACCTCTCCGAATTGAGAATGTTAAACAACTCTCTATGTTTGATCATCGTTGTCTTCGAAGGATTGCTGACATCCAGTGGTAACACCATATTAGTAATTCAAAGGTTCTGCATTGTGTGTCCGGACACAGAGACGATAATCCAATTGGTATCACCAGATTGAAACACTGACTTCGATGGATTGGACATGTTTTACGAATGTTGTCCTAGCGAATTCCACGTCGTGTATTATTTACCGACTCTGGGACTGGTTGGAAAAAGTGGAGAGGTGGTCAGTGTATGATATGGTGTCGTGATATGAGAAAAAAGCTGCAAAGGGTTGGCTTCTATTGGTCCTTCTCGACTCCATGGCTGGGGTTCGACAGATGGTGCAACACAGTGGCTAGAGACGTTATGAGATATGTTTCAGAATAGAAGCCAGTGGCGATCCTGCTGTAACCTTCTCTTACTTTCTTCATACAAAGTGGCTGTAACTTCTTTAATTGAAAGAATTCTTTCTGGTTGTACCTTTCTGTTTCCCTCATTATTATTATTATTGTTATTTCATTGCCATACACTAACCTGTGGTCTTTATTGTTCTCTTTTTTTCTTATACACACCTTACATTCTTTTTCTCTTCCCATTCTCATTGTTTTGTGTGGCGCATATATATCTGGTGCCCCCGTGTACCAATATATTAATGTGTTCAAATAAATAATCATTATAGGACTCAGTAACCTAGGTTTGATAAACGGTAACTTATATAATTCATACAATCGATTTTTAAGTTGCTGGCAGTTGACTTAAGAGATGTCAATGGAACGGCTCAGTTAGCTAGTTAGTTAGTTAGTTAGTTAGTTAGTTAGTTAGTTAGTTAGTTAGTTAGTTAGTTAGTTAGTTAGTTAGTTAGTTAGTTAGTTAGTTAGTTAGTTAGTTAGTTAGTTAGTTAGTTAGTTAGTTAGTTAGTTAGTTAGTTAGTTAGTTAGTTAGTTAGTTAGTTAGTTAGTTAGTTAGTTAGTTAGTTAGTTAGTTAGTTAGTTAGTTAGTTAGTTTAGTTAGTTAGTTAGTTAGTTAGTTAGTTAGTTAGTTAGTTAGTTAGTTAGTTAGTTAGTTAGTTAGTTAGTTAGTTAGTTAGTTAGTTAGTTAGTTAGTTAGTTAGTTAGTTAGTTAGTTAGTTAGTTAGTTAGTTAGTTAGTTAGTTAGTTAGTTAGTTAGTTAGTTAGTTAGTTAGTTAGTTAGTTAGTTAGTTAGTTAGTTAGTTAGTTAGTTACAAGCAACATAGAACGTGCTACATATATACATCACCACATCACATTAGCACAGCGAAATGAATCTTTTTACGGTAAAACCAGGTTAGTCGAAGTAGTAACATTATCCTTGGTAGTATAAAACGATAGACATAGAGTATGATTCTTGAAGAAAAAAGAATTCTAGAGATGTAAAGTAAAAGTCTTTTAGGACAGGGTCGATCCATATACATCATTGCAACTAATTTAGAACCCTATCACCCAACATCGCTAACCTTTGGTTACAGTAATTTCACAGACACCGATCAGGTAACCTGCAGATACTTACATGGCTCTACCCAATAGTCGATGACTTTAATAGACTGATGCCATATAGTTTTGTCCTCCTCTAGTTTCCTTCCAGGATACTTCTATACATAATATATATCTCAACTATCTTAGTCGATGAGAATTCACTACATTATCAACCGACTTTCCATCTTTCCTTAATGTACCGCATCTAATCTCAGCATTGCTCATATCAGTAGTCTCAACATAAGTAAACAATACTTTCAAAATACTTATTAATCAAATAATAGTGAATTTCGAATGTTCTCTATTTTTTTACTGCCATAAATTAGAATAGTACGAAATATCTCATCAATATTTAGTTGAGAATAGGCAAACTGATATTACATATATTGTACATGTGATACAAGTTAAGAAAATCCAAGCTAGCTTTCGTTATTCGTGCTGAGACTTCGTCAAACACCTCATCTAATAGGATTCATGTTGAATCTTCCAAGATAAGTTATTTGATCGACATGTTCAATTACTTCAGTGGTACAGAACTTCTTATTTTAAAATATTTAATGTATTTAACTATAACTTATTAGTTATATTCAATTTTAACTATAACAGTAATGATTGATTAATACTAGTAATTTTAACAGCTGAATTCATGAGTCGATCTAAGCTAGACCACCATTGGAAATCTGAACATACTGGACGGCCGTTTCGTCCTAGTATAGGATTACTCAGCAGTGCGCATCCACAATTCCACACATGGGACTGTTTAGATTACTATGATCTCCACAAATCTTAGTAGTAGTAGTAGTAGTAGTAGTATTAGTAGTAGTAGTAGTAGTAGTAGTAGTAGAGTAGTAGTAGTAGTAGTAGTAGTAGTAGTAGTAGTAGTAGTAGTAGTAGTAGTAGTAGTAGTAGTAGTGTATAGTAGTAGTAGTAGTAGTAGTAGTAGTAGTAGTAGTAGTAGTAGTAGTAGTAGTAGTAGTAGTAGTAGTAGTAGTAGTTAGTAGTAGTAGTAGTAGTAGTATTAGTAGTAGTAGTAGTAGTAGTAGTAGTAGTAGTAGTAGTAGTATAGTAGTAGTTAGTAGTAGGAGTAGTAGTAGTAGTAGTAGTAGTAGTAGTAGTAGTAGTAGTAGTAGTAGTAGTAGTAGTATTAGTAGTAGTAGTAGTAGTAGTAGTAGTAGTAGTAGTTAGTAGTAAGTAGTAGTAGTAGTAGTAGTAGTAGTAGTAGTAGTAGTAGTAGTAGTAGTAGTAGTAGTAGTAGTAGTAGTAGTAGTAGTAGTAGTAGTAGTAGTAGTAGTAGTAGTAGTAGTAGTAGTAGTAGTAGTAGTAGTAGTAGTAGTAGTAGTAGTAGTAGTAGTAGTAGTAGTAGTAGTAGTAGTAGTAGTAGTAGTAGTAGTAGTAGTAGTAGTAGTAGTAGTAGTAGTAGTAGTAGTAGTAGTAGTAGTAGTAGTAGTAGTAGTAGTAGTAGTAGTAGTAGTAGTAGTAGTAGTAGTAGTAGTAGTAGTAGTAGTATAGTAGTAGTAGTAGTAGTAGTAGTAGTAGTAGTAGTAGTAGTAGTAGTAGGTAGTAGTAGTAGTAGTAGTAGTAGTAGTAGTAGTAGTAGTAGTAGTAGTAGTAGTAGTAGTAGTAGTAGTAGTAGTAGTAGTAGTAGTAGTAGTAGTAGTAGTAGTAGTAGTAGTAGTAGTAGTAGTAGTAGTAGTAGTAGTAGTAGTAGTAGTAGTAGTAGTAGTAGTAGTAGTAGTAGTAGTAGTAGTAGTAGTAGTAGTAGTAGTAGTAGTAGTAGTAGTAGTAGTAGTAGTAGTAGTAGTAGTAGTAGTAGTAGTAGTAGTAGTAGTAGTAGTAGTAGTAGTAGTAGTAGTAGTAGTAGTAGTAGTAGTAGTAGTAGTAGTAGTAGTAGTAGTAGTAGTAGTAGTAGTAGTAGTAGTAGTAGTAGTAGTAGTAGTAGTAGTAGTAGTAGTAGTAGTAGTAGTAGTAGTAGTAGTAGTAGTAGTAGTAGTAGTAGTAGTAGTAGTAGTAGTAGTAGTAGTAGTAGTAGTAGTAGTAGTAGTAGTAGTAGTAGTAGTAGTAGTAGTAGTAGTAGTAGTAGTAGTAGTAGTAGTAGTAGTAGTAGTAGTAGTAGTAGTAGTAGTAGTAGTAGTAGTAGTAGTAGTAGTAGTAGTAGTAGTAGTAGTAGTAGTAGTAGTAGTAGTAGTAGTAGTAGTAGTAGTAGTAGTAGTAGTAGTAGTAGTAGTAGTAGTAGTAGTAGTAGTAGTAGTAGTAGTAGTAGTAGTAGTAGTAGTAGTAGTAGTAGTAGTAGTAGTAGTAGTAGTAGTAGTAGTAGTAGTAGTAGTAGTAGTAGTAGTAGTAGTAGTAGTAGTAGTAGTAGTAGTAGTAGTAGTAGTAGTAGTAGTAGTAGTAGTAGTAGTAGTAGTAGTAGTAGTAGTAGTAGTAGTAGTAGTAGTAGTAGTAGTAGTAGTAGTAGTAGTAGTAGTAGTAGTAGTAGTAGTAGTAGTAGTAGTAGTAGTAGTAGTAGTAGTAGTAGTAGTAGTAGTAGTAGTAGTAGTAGTAGTAGTAGTAGTAGTAGTAGTAGTAGTAGTAGTAGTAGTAGTAGTAGTAGTAGTAGTAGTAGTAGTAGTAGTAGTAGTAGTAGTAGTAGTAGTAGTAGTAGTAGTAGTAGTAGTAGTAGTAGTAGTAGTAGTAGTAGTAGTAGTAGTAGTAGTAGTAGTAGTAGTAGTAGTAGTAGTAGTAGTAGTAGTAGTAGTAGTAGTAGTAGTAGTAGTAGTAGTAGTAGTAGTAGTAGTAGTAGTAGTAGTAGTAGTAGTAGTAGTAGTAGTAGTAGTAGTAGTAGTAGTAGTAGTAGTAGTAGTAGTAGTAGTAGTAGTAGTAGTAGTAGTAGTAGTAGTAGTAGTAGTAGTAGTAGTAGTAGTAGTAGTAGTAGTAGTAGTAGTAGTAGTAGTAGTAGTAGTAGTAGTAGTAGTAGTAGTAGTAGTAGTAGTAGTAGTAGTAGTAGTAGTAGTAGTAGTAGTAGTAGTGATATGGTGTGAAATGAAACTGAAAATTCAGACCATTGTACTGTTTCCACTCATCGAAAGCAAATAACAACGACATTTAAACTTTAACAATAATCACGAATATGTTCAGTCAGTCAGCTACAACGTAGGACCACGCACATACATTCATCGTTCCAAGTTACCATACCTCATTAGCACAACAAGATAAACATCAAATTCTCAGAAGTAATTTCAATAGTATTAATATATGAAAGAAAGATTGTGTATAAGGATATGATACAGTATGAAAGAATTAAAAAGAAAGGTATAAAGTAATTTTAATTACATTTCCTTCATCCCCCAAATGTCCTGGTACAGCTGAGGGTGGGGAGAGCTAGCTCTCCTTCACGAAATGCTCTCACATGACCACGTGTATACAATCACTACCTTCTCGCGGCATTACTATTGTTTATGGGATTGACAGAACGAAAAGCGAGTGTCCGGCGCTTTAACCGGATCGGTGTATACGGAGAGTTTATATAGGATAGTTGGAAAACCCTGATTCCAAACCAATGATACACATGGGCTACAGTGTCCTGAAGGAATAAATGGTGTATGAACCTGTTGTTGATGACCGGCTACCATGTGACTGCATCTCTTAACGTTAATCCAGTGTTTTGTGGATCAGATCTTTAGATCAAAGGCTCTGGGTGTGACCCCGTAAAAAAATCACCTGCTTCGATGCCCATGATGTAGTTTGGTGATTTCTATAACGTATGTTCTATCCACTTGCAACATCTTTTATTAATTTCCTATTCAGCTGGAAGCTGATTTGTTCTCTCCCATAGTAGACTGTTTCTGATGGTATTTGTTCAACAGACATTGAGTATCTTACGTAAACAATTGTTTATTAATACTTGTACATTTTTGTTGATAGTTGTGATAGTTCTTCATGTTTCAGCTACGTCCATATTAAAGATTGTGACTTTGTCATTCATTGACAATTGTTTTGAATCCCAAGTTTCAAGTATAGGAATACTGTCATTGCTTTATCAATCCTCACCATTTACATCTGTATCAGTTCCTTCTTGTTCATCATTTCAATTAATAATACATACTACTTATATCTGTTGATATCAGTAGCATAAACCATATATACTATTGAAAAATCTTTAAAACAATTTAGTATAGACCCTAGTTTTCAAATCTAAAATTGCTATCTGTTTTCAAGCTAATAAAGGATATAAAATCATTAGATTGGTACTTTTTATTAATGATGAGCAAATGTAAAGTAACCATAAAAAAAGAACTTGTATGATTCATTGTATTCATTTTGACGAAATCTCATGTGATAAAGTAGTTGAATGATGAAGTCATCTATTTGTGATTATGAATGACAATTACATTGTATAAAGTACAAATAGAGAGATAGATTAAAGTTGACTTTATGTATTGATTTATTCTTATTAAAAACAAAGAAAAATGACTACAATTTTCATCATAATTATGATATGTTCAATAGTGATTGGATTCAAGAGGTATTTCTTAGAGTTCTAGTGATCAATGGAGTTCAATTGTGTCTGATATAAGACAGTAACTCATTGAAGACAATGGTGAGGGTAGATATTAACACTGTCGAATGCCGGATCAGTAGTGTGGAGTTTAAACGTTTGCACGAGAGCCCTGGGTTCGAACCCCGCGAGCAGAATCACGGATGCGCATTGCTGAAGAGTCCCACAATAGAGCGAAACGGCCGTTCAATGATGGTCTAACATTAATCCGTTCATGATTTCAATAAAAATAATATCCACAACCGCATGCTGATAATTACCATGTGCTCACTAGTGACTAACTTCGTGATAGAATTCTCGCAGTTCTAGTGAGAAGTTATAGCCAGTGGAGCTAATCCGTGTCTTGCGTCTGAATCCCTCCAGTGGATTTGCATTACTGAGGAGTCTCATGCTAGGGCAAGACGGCCGTCAAGTGCTTCTAGTTTTTCCATGATGGTCTAGCTTTGATCGACTCAGGAATTCAACTATTGAACTTCCAGAAAACCCTCTTTCTGATAAGAAAGAATAAACAAAAAGAATTCATTACTTTGGACATTAATGATAAACGTAACTTTGCGATGAATTCATAGATTAGATTCACTAACATACTGAGATAGATTTGATTACTACTATAATTATAATAACTACTACTGTGATGTATGCTACTTATGTTAACAGATATAAGTAGTATGTGACACTGATTAAAATTGGAATGCCTTGCAACAGAAGATTGAAAAGATCGAATAGAAGAGAATGGGAATGTAAACAGAGAGTGGTTGTAATAATAAGTGGAATGAAGGAAAAATAAAGTTTGTAAGAGACAACTGATAGAAGATGTACAAATGAAGTATTTAATGTATGGGTTTCATATTTTACGAAGACATTCTGGAATTTTACATTAAACAATAAATTGGTCCTCTCCACCCGAATTCTCGTTTACTACACTACAAGTGCTTGAAATACTATTACTACTGTGGTGTGTGCTATCGATGTTGACAGATATAAGTAGTATGTAACATCAATCAAAAGTGAAATACCTGGCAGCAGAAGGTTAAGAAGATTAAAGTAAAGAGAACGAGAACAGAGAGTGATTAGTGTGGAAATGTGTTAGCGGGACATAGACAGGATTAAATCATGCTCAATGCACGCTTGCGCTGGCGCACGCTGATTGGCTAATTCTTATCCAATCAGCGCTAGCCGATGCTTGGAGAATACTCTGGAATCTTCTCATGTAAAAACTATAAATATACTAACGGTTTTCCTATTGTGCTTCTTGCTTCCATCTAACCTTTTTATTTGGAATATAATCTCCTTCCTGTTCAACAGTGTTCTGATTTGAGGCCTTGTCGACTGAATTGGTGTCCGTGAATACTAAGCAATAGGAATAGCTGGGTTATAACCGTAAGAGAGAGAATTATGACAAAATGAAAGAACAACGAAGTCTGAGACGATTGGCTGAAGAATTTACTGTATGTTCTTGTTTACCATAGTACTATGTTGTGAATAACGGAATTTCAGAAATATACATCATTAAGTTTTCTATTCAATATCTCAATAGTATGGTTTATACTAGCATCTGTTTGGTATCATGAGAACTTCTAAACTACAATTAATTTCATAATATCAACCTATTTTCACTAGATTTTCTTTATACTTACTTACTTATGCTTGTTACTTGTCGTAGAGAAACATAAGCCTCCCACCAGCACTCTCTATCCAACTCTGTCCTGAACAATCCTTTCCAGCTCTTTCCAGTTGTTATTCATTCTATTTCCCGATGTAATGTGTTCTTTGGCATTCCTCTTTACCGCTTCCCTTCAGGATTCCAAGTTACGGCTTACCTCATGATGCAGTTTGATGATTTGTGTACCATTTTTTGAAGTAAAAAAAATTAGACGATACTTTTAACTCGAGGAGTATAAGGAACTAATGATATATGGAGTCAGAGAGATAGAGAAAGTAGCGATTCGGTAAGCCTTTAATTTATGGACAACCTATGAGCGACGCCAGATTGACTTTGAAAGTGTACACCTAATAACCAGGACCAAATGAAGGTTATAGATCAATGTGTGAGAAATCGGAATTATAATTTACGGTTGATGGTTAAGGTGAAGTAATTAGTTTTAAGATTTTTATCACAAACCGACATCAAGTATAATGCCAAAACTCAATTTAGCCAAATTAATAAGTGAATATTGTGCCAAAATCCGAGACTTATTCGTATACCTGATTGGTAAATTATAGTCTCTTCAGCGATTCATATCCATCATGCTTTGATATAGCCAAGATACTATAGCAACTCATGTTCAACCGAGTTTGTTGACATTTAATTTGGTTAAACCTTTTTGTTAACTTATTTAACGGATAGAATCATTTGTACAATAACAACAACTTATCTTGTATCATTGTACCTTTATTATTGTTGTACTTGTATAAATAATGTATGCTTGAACATTATTTATTTATTATTTATTTTAACACATAAGTATAGGTACAGGGAGGCACCAAAATATATATGCGCCACACAAATCTCAATTGATTTGTGTGAGGGCTGTGATACTGCCCCGGTGCCCAAACCGAAGCAGATGGTTGTCTTAGGGGGCCACACCCCGAGCCTTTGACCTGAACGTCTGACCCACAAGGCAGTGGAGCATCGTGAGGAGATGCAGTCCCATGGTAGCCGGTGACCAACGATTGGTTCATTCGTCATTTGTTCCTTCAGGATACTAGAGCCAGCCCATGTGCACCATTGGTTTGGGGTTCGGTTAAAGCGCCGGACATTCGCTTTTCGTCCTCTCATTTTTGTAAACAACACCCCCGCCATGAGAAGGCAGTGAGTAGGACTTCCCTGGCAGGGGCTATATACGCATGGCCATGTGAGAGCATTTGGAGAGAGAGAGCGGACTCTCCCCACTCTCGGCCGTACCAGGGCATTTGGGGGCTGCCTACGCATCTATTCATTCAGCTAACTTTACTATTAGTCGCTTAATTGATTCGATGATTCATTCATTTCACTATGTATATATATATATATATATATATATATATATATGTCCATTTTATTCCTGTTCATTGACTCACTGACTGACTCTCTCATTCGACTCTGTTGTCCGCTTGCTTTTCGGTACTACTCTTTCATGCTTGTTTAGTATACCTGTCATTTTAGTTATCTGCTCATGATGCAATAATAAACTTAATCAACACTTCATATCCGTTGGATTGTTGTTTAGTGACGGTTATCAAGATGACCTGTATACGAAGTTTAATAATTGAGATTTATAGCTCAGGTGAATGATTTTGATGGAGTTTTGTTTTTTTTTGAACTGGATGTCTTGGTCGTGGAACTTTCATTGTTCTTCTAAACGACATCATCAGTAAAAACTTCAGATAGAAGTGAACAAAACTCCATTAAAGTTTAAGGATTATATTGAATACCGACTACCACAATGCTATATCAATCGCTTTTGGTTAATAGGGTTTATTAAATAAGAAGATTAGCTCACTAGCATTCGTCATCCAACACTGTAATGAACAATCATTTATAGCTCTTTCAAGTTAATATTCATCCTTTTCATATCTACTTCCAATTACCGACGCAGTATGTTCTTCGGCCTCCCACTTTTTCTGCTTCCATTCACGATTCCAAGTTAGAGGTTGCCTCGTGATGTAGTTTGATGATTTTCATAATGTATGTCCTATTCATTTCCAACATCTTTTCTTAACCTTCTCTTCAGGTGGAAGTTGGTTTGTTCTCTCCCATAGTAGGCTGTTGTTGATGGTATCCGGCCAATGGGTGTTGAGTATCTTGCGTAGACATCTATTTATAAATACTTGTGCATTTTTGATTATGATTGTAGTAGTTGTCTAAGTTTCATCTCCGTACAGTAGCACTATCTAGACACTCGTATTGAAGATTGTGACTTTAATATTGGTTGACAGTTGTTTTGAGTTGTATATGTTCTTCAATTGTAGAAATGCTGTCCTTGCTTTTCCAACTCTTGACTTTACGTCTGCATCAGATCCTCCTTGTTAGTCGATGTTGCTAACCAGATACATGAATGTTTCTACCTCTCTCAGAGTTTCTCCATCATATGTGATTGGGTTGGCGTTCTCTGTGTTGTATTTGAAGTCCTTATTTATTTATTTGGTTAGTGTTTTTTAGCAATTTTGTTTTCTACGGGATCGTGTTACCGACCTCATACGTAACCCGTCCTGGTTACCTGGTCTTGAGACTGACAGTAGCTCTAGAAGAGCCACCGTCCGACTTAAGTCTTCTGCAATGTTTCGTATGTAATGACTGGATATTGTTGTAGGTTGTTCACTACAGTAGCATAGACTTGGAGTATTGAAGCAATTTTATTGGACATAGGGCTCAGTAGATCCAATAGTGTGAAGTTCAGTAGTAGAACATATGAAGAACTAGATATAAAGTAAACTTTTTATTTCAAGTCATTTAGAAAATGAATACAAACTTATCAGTGATGATAAATTTTGAAAGAAACTAGGACAATGTCTATGTAGTATCAGTTACTATTTTAAACAACTCCGCCTGGAGCCCATTTGGAGTTACTGTCGGTACCAAGCCCGGTTAAAGGAGGAGGATTGGGCATGGGGTTAGCGACCCCATACTTTAGAAAACTAACGCGCTAAAAAAACGCTAACAAGAGAAAATAATTCCAACTATCAAAACTTTGCCCTAGGAGTTAAAAGAATCATGACACCTCATGATGAAAGCTGTATACCTTCGGAAGTTAAGAGGCTGATTCTCCTTCTGACAACCAGAGCAACCATTTATTCACGTATATAGTATTTGCGCAGAACATAGTGGATTGGAGAATGCTGGTCGGCGACCTATGCTCCATTGGGAATAACAGACATAAGTAAGTAAGTAACTAGGTTAAGCCTACATAACTTATTATAAGTTTTAAACAAGCCAATTTATTCACTCTACTTAAGTTACATTTTGACTTTGTTAATTATTCAGTTATCAACCTTGACTGTTTCTATGTAAGAGTATATGTGTGCATTTCTTATCTGAATCATCATGTCTGTAAATTATCTTTGTCTGGCTATAAATATCGATTAACGTTTGATTAAATCAAGTTAGCTAGAGTTATCTTCTTCATTGTACGTCATTTTGTTTCGCTCTCTTTCATTCACTTCCTTCGCTCTGTTCCTTTGATTATCTGTCCAAATCAACGAGTGTACAAAATATACGTATATATGTATACAGAATGGGCTGCTTACCAGCATTCTCCATTCATATCTATCCTGAACAATACTTTCCACTAGTTTCCAGTTGTTATTCATCCTTTTTATGTTCACTTTCAATTCCCAATATATGATGTTCTTTAGCCTTTTCTCATGTCCGTTCCTCTTCAATATTCCAAGTTAGTTCTTGCTTGTAACTCTTCTAAGGTTACTATCGTTGCCAAGCCTAGATAAAGGAGAAGGGTTGGGCATGAGGTTGCCATTCCCATGCCTTAGCAACCAATCTTGCTTTAGAAAAAAACATGAACACTAACTAGATTAAACAAAGACCAGTATGTACTAGTCTAATTGTATCATAAACATATTATTCGGATTAAAAATATACAACTATTAACGTTGTGTATTATGCATGAAAAATGCATGACTAGTCATATTTCATTAGACAGATCATAAACCTGTTCATAATTCATGAACACAACATTTAAGTGACCATAAATTAAAGGGTATTTTTAGTTAAAATAAACAATACAGTTTACAATAGTCATGATAAAACTAAGCTATACTTTGTATCCATACATAAGTGATGTGTGCTACTTATATCGAGATAAGTAGTATATACAAATTAGATGGCGGTTGGAAGTAGTCGACAGAAAACCATGGACCCGGGTTTCGTGCTACTTGGCGCTTGTCAGAAAGGTGTACCTGTAGTCTTGAGGGAACTGGTGCTCCCTGATGGATTCGATCTCGTATCACCCAGCTTCACAGTTACAGAGACATTATCACTGAGCTATCCGGGTGGCGACTGATCTTCAAGTTTCACGAAACTCGGGTCCAGGGTTTTCTGTTGACTACCTCCAATCACCATCTAATATCAACATAGTGCACGCAGTCATGTGATAGCCGGTCACCAACGATTGGTTCATACACCATTTGTTCCCTCACGATACTGCAGTCCATGTGCACCATTGGTCTGGAAAAAAGATTTCCCAACTCCTCTAGGTGGAATATCCGTATACACCAACCCGGTTGAATCGACGGACATTCACATTTCGTCCTCTCAATTTCGTAAACAACACCACGAGAAAACAGTGAGTAGGAGTTCCCTTTTAGTGCTTGAATGCACATGGCCATGTGAGAGCATTTGGAAAGGGTGAGCTGATTCTCTCAACTCTCGAGCGTACCAGGACATTGGTAACTCACCAAACAATATTCCTGATCTAATTTGATTCATTCAACACAAGATTAACTAAAGAAAAGGGATCCTAAACTACATTTTTCTTTGGATTCGATTCATTCAGATGAAATGAAACAATTATTCAGTCTCTTATCACTTCCAAACATCTACCAACTTGAGTTGTCCACTATGTGGTGCGAATCTATCATCAAATATCTCACAAATCTCTATTCAACCACGTGAATACATCATCACCATCACGATGTATTCATCAATTCCAGAACCGATTTCCTGATATATAATATGTGAAAGGTAATGACCTGTAGAATCCACAAGCTATATGTGACGACGTGGTTATCTCGATGTGATTGTCATCGATTTTCAGAGATTCCAGTGAAATCGCATACAGGAACATCAGTGTACAGCTCGTTCAGTGAGTTTCAAACGAACAAACACACAACTATTCAATCATCCCTACTCCTCTGTTC